GTGGGGTGTGGGGGGGGGGGATCACCTGCGGGGGTGCAGGGCATGTCACCCCAGGGTGGAAGCATGCAGCTGCCGGTGGATTAAGAGATGCATTTAACCATTACTCACAGGTCAAATATCAGGTAGTGATGGCCCTCTTCAGAGATGCTGTCGTGGAGCCTCACTGCGGCAGAGACAGAAGGGTTATGGGGTACGCCTGGATCCCACCCTGCTCCCGGGGAACGCCTTTGCTCCCCCTTGGGCATAAGCAGGAGCTGGGGAAGGGCCAAGCGGGGCTATTCCTCCTCCCTCCTCCTCTGCTATTGCTGCTGACTGGGTGGGGGGGGTGTCTCTGCTCAACAGGGGACCCCAGCCGTGGCCCCAGCCTCAGGCAGTAGTGCAAGGCTCGAAGGTCACATCCAAATCAGGGACTGCCCGGGGCTGGTGTCTGGCCAAGGTCCCGGGCAGCTGCTGGGCTATCTTGGGTGCTGGGCAGGCTGCAGGCACGGGTGCCCCCAGCCCAGCCCTCTGCCCCATCAGGAGAGGTGCCCGGGCACAGGGAGAGCTCAGCCAGGGCGCTGGGCTGCCAGCCCGGGCACTGACGGGGCTTTTTTTATTTTCTGCTCGTGACCTTCCTTTTCTCCTTGGGAGGTTTCAGGTTGGGGATATCCAGGAATCACCATGGGATGAGTTTGCTTTGGAGGAAATGCTCTCCTCAGCTCCTCCAGTGGGGCTGGCATCTCACCCCACTCGTCACACCGAGGGGCACCCTCCCCACTCGGGTACGCCTTGCCAAGTACAGCCCGAGGGCAGCAAACCTGCCACCCTGCAGCCGGGTTCTGCTCACAGCTTAGCAGGCAGATGTGCAGCGAGGGGACAGGCACAGGAACAGGTAGGATGTGCAAATAAAGACTGGTCCAGCATCCTCTGGCCCCCACGTCACATTTTTTTTCTGATCTTCTTGAGGCTGTACATATTTAACCCTTCCTCTCTGCTCACCTGGTTTCAGCCCAATACAACTTTCAACATCTTTGAGATCTTTGGAAACCCGGGAGAAAAACTAAACATTCAGCTGAATGATTTTGGGGGAATTTTTGCTCCTCGCCCACTTTACCACAGCTAAATCAGCTGAGCCCTGTATGGAAACATCCTCTAGACTCAAGTCTGAGCTGGAGGAGATAACAAGCCCCAACCTAAGTGCAGACGCTGTTCTGCATCGCTCTTATCTCCCAGGCCAGCAAACGCCGCTTTGCTGGTCCTACCCCTCCCTCCAAGCTCTGTGGGCAGATCCAGCCGCTGCTAAGAGCGAGCTGCCAGCGGCATCGCCTCACCCTGCCTGGG